ATTCTAGAATGCAATTATTAATTACAACATGTAAATAAATCTAATAGAAAAAAAATGAATGATTCCTAAAAGATTTCAAAGGACACGCCTTCCACCTCCTCCATTTATGGGCAACATATCCATTGAAATTTAAAAAGAGAGATTTATTTGACACAAAATACGTTGCTAACGGTCTGGACAATTAAGGTTGTCACATAACATTGATACTTATTTGATGGTGTCAATTTTCTGCAAAATGTGATGAATCTCTTTAATTCATCTGCTGCCACATGCACACGGGGTAGCTCAAGCAGACACGGGAATTAGAATTAAAATCCAGCTCTAGGGAGATATTATTGCGGAATTTCATACACGGTCAGGACCCCAAATCACAGGACAAGCATGTTACAATTTGTAGAATTTTAAATGCAGTTTGAGTATGCTTGGTCAATCCTAATTGGCATAATATGAATTAACTTGTTTATTTGCATTCATGTTAACATTATTTGTGAATATTGATATTAGGAACGTCACCTCAGGACAGAGTAGATCTGCCGATTTTGACCCTAAAATGAGGTTAAGTATAAATTTCAAAAGACAACACATTTACTGTCTGGTAAACATATAAGTTTTTTAAAAATTTGGAACGGACAGAAATAAAACCAATTTTGAAAATGACCCGGTGAATTCTAGAATACAATTATTCATTACATCAGTTTTCTTTGCTGTTCGTTTGTTTAACACCTTGTTCTTTTACGGACTGATTCCCGGTTAACAGTTTAGTTTCAACTTGGGTTTCAACACTTAACAATAGTTTAAAAAGTGGCTATTGTGTAACACGGAACCTGTAAAACCGGTTTCCAGCAATATCCAGATGTTCATGCTGTGCATATTTGTTACGTTATGTCGCCTTCACTCAATAGTGGAGATCATTCTGGGCTTCATAGCTTCATATGACGAAAATATGCTTGTCATAGGATACACTATATTCAGTCAACCCCCACAGTCCCATACGTCATGTAAATCGCAAGACAAAGTCTACATAAACTATAATGCGATTCTATGAGTATACTGTAATGCTAAAGAATCACGAATCAAGAGACGGGTATAATTTTATAAGTCAAAAATATATCTCGATCTGTTATGACACAGAATGTCATGGACAGGTTATTGTGGTACAATGTGCTAAGCCTACTGATGGATTCCCTCCCCATCTTTCCGATATGGATATTTTAAAAGCTTTCACCCCAAGAGAGAGAAAAGTTTGATATACCGGGGTCAAAGGGCCGCCCACCTGAGGCCAACGCATAATTGCAAATTCCTCCTCAGAAAGGTCACTGACAACGATGTCTTCAGACCTATTTGTTTAATTTTAGGTGGTCAGAAAGTTCGTGCAAGAGAAAATAACTATACGTGCCTTAATTTATTTCACATGAATCCAGTTTGGCGTGAGATTTGCATGAGTAATCAATTAGTGTGTCTCCATACCGTATAGGACGTGTTTGAATCCATTGTCTTCAATATGACACTCATTTTCATATGTTTTGATCATATTTCAACGTATTAATCATAAATATCATATCTGTATATATTCATCCATACAATGAGTCAAAATAAAAACTTCACAATTCATATTTGTTAATAAAAATATGAATTGTTATAGCAGACAGTTTTCGGGTATCATAAGCGAGATATCCCCAAGTATCGTCAAAATCAAGAAAAAACACATTTAAGTCAATCCACACATCGTGCACCCCACAATAGTGCTGAAACCTGTTTCTCACGTGTACCTGGTCACGTGATCTTATCATTGCTCGTGCATTCGATCGCACATGTTCCCATCAACTGTACATAGTGAAAAATCACTTTACAGCACTATTGAGAACAGCCAGTTCTTATGCCGCGCCTCTCAATGTGCAGCATAAACGAGCCGTTGGCATGCTGGAAGCGGGAACGTTAGTAAGTGACGTAGCAAGGACAATGGGGTGCAGCCGTCGGACTGTTTATGATTTGCAGACTCGACTGCAACAAACTGGCACCAGGCCGACGTCACAGGAGGAGGACCGTCAAATTGTGCTACGTCACCTCCGTAACCGTTTCTTGACGGCTACAGGAATCTGAAATGAGCTGTTTAGGGGTCGATTGTCGGCACAAACCACCCAAAGCAGCTGCGATGTGCTAAAATTCGACGACCATATCGAGGAACCATTTTGACGCCATTCCATCGACGTTAGCGTTTTCTGTGGGCCCGACAACACCTCCGATGGACTCAAAGAGACTGGACTCGAGTTGTCTTCAGTGATGAACCAAGATTTACCCTCAGATTCGCTGATGGTAGGATGAGAGGCGACGCCGTGAACGTTATGCTCAGTGTTGTGTATAGGCAGTTGACAGATTTGGGGGCGGAAGTGTCATGGTTGGGGGGGAGCTTCCTGTGGGATTGCCCGTTCCCCACTTCTGGTTATCCGTGGGAACCTAAATGCTGCAGGTTACCGCGACCAGGTGCTAGCCCCCGAACGTATTCCATTCATGGCAGCACATGGTCCAGGTCTGCACTTTCAGCATGACAATGCCAGACCCCATACAACCATCTTGACCAGGAATTACCTGCAGAACGCAGGAATCAACGTTCTTGACTGGCAGTCAAGGTCACCTGATCACTAATCGAGCACATCTGGGGGATGATCTTGGTAGACGTGTGCGCACTCTCAGGAACCAACCCCAGAATTTGCAGGATCTTGGTGCTGCTTTGCAGGAACAATTGCGCCTACTCCCCAATAATGTGTTTACACGCATCAGACAGTCCATGAGGAGGCGTTCCTTGGCTAGTTGTGAACGCACGGGATGGCCATACACGCTACTGAACGTGTCAAACATCAGATTTAATTTCTTGTGACTTGACACTTTGTTTACGCCTTTCATTGATAAATTCTGTAACCACATGGAACCGATGTTTTGGCGTTGTGATTATTCTCAGTTCATCCTATCGACCTTAACAAATAAATGATGACCTGTATACTACATTCTTGTGTCCTTTCTTTTATATATTATTTAATATATCAGTATGAAGTTTCCAGTTTGACTCAGTATATAAACATGTATGTTGTAACTGCTCGAGCCACATTCCTATAACGACTAAACTAGCAGGAGTTGCTGTTGCTTTCAACCTCAGACTGTGGAGTCAAAATACAATCCTTACGAATGTATCAAGGTCTTTAGATATACAACTATCTTTATCTGTTGATTATGTCACTGTTATTACTTATGACACAAACAACCCAAACAACCCATGACCAGCTGGCCTTTATTAAAGCGTTCCCTCCTATTTGTAACCATTTCCAATCCTCACAGTAAAACACAGCGGGAGTCCCCTTCATCGCTGACACTAAATAAACCCGTTTCATGGTCTTACTTACATTACGTTTTTTAAACAACCCTTTTATTGCACCAATTTCAGGCAGTTAAATTTAAGTCTATTCAAAAACGCTTTCATTTTTTATCTCTGAAAGACGTAAAGTGGTTCGTGTGATTGTGACATATCAGTAGCGTGAATGATCCACAGCTGAAAAGTTTGCCTGCCAGGCTGTGTGCGAGTGGTGGTATGTGACATAGTGTATAGGTATGCTTTTGAATTCATGCATATTATGACTGCATGCAAGGTAGGCACTGTTTGTCCATATGTCAACCATGAAGTGGATATAAAACGCGCAGTGAATATTTCAGCCTGTTGATGGTTTTTTTCTATATACTCAAAAGAAGCTTAAAAATTATCCGATTCGTTCATGTAAGAATAGTCAGTGTTTCGTGCCATTGTGTAAAAGGGCGGTGCCATTGGGTGACCTGGAGTACGTGAATGAATCTTATTTAACGCCGCTCGGAAATATTTTTCTGTTGTGTCAGCTATGGCGGAGCTAGGTATCAGGCAGGTCGTTCGCAGATGTTTGTTGCATTTCGAAACCAAAGGATCAAATTCGTTGCGAAATTGGGATTCCAAACCACAATCAGTGGATGCTGCTACGATCAAGTTAGGAAATTCTAGACGACTTGGACGTTTGCTGTATTGAGTGTGTAAGTTTAGTTTTACGCCGCACTCAGCAATATTCAAGCCATATGGCGGCGGTCTGTAAATAGTCGAGTCTGGACCAGACAATCCAGTGATCAACACCATGAGCATCGATCTGCACAATTGGGAACCGATGACATATGTCAACCACGTAAGCGAGCCTGACCACCCGATTCCCTTAGTCGCCTCTTACGACAAGCATGGGTTGCTGAAGATCAATATTCTAACCCGGACCTTCACGGGTATTGCTGTATTGGGAAACCTTTTGAGAACGATGACATGTATTCTGTTTGTCCTTTAAATCCCCGATGAGACTCGGCAATGGTAAGGTTCTCGTTGTTCGAAGTATTTCCAGCACTTCGGTTCGTAACTTCCATACTTTAACATAGACTTAGGACAGCCGTTGAGTTGACATCACCCTGTGCAAGTGGGCCTCGAGGAAGGGTTATTTAAAAATGATATTAACACCTATTAACGACACTGAGGTATGTGGCGTCTTAACGAATATTATATTCGAATCGATACTGAACACGATGAGACACATAACTGAACCGGCAACCGGTTTAAACTCTTTCCGCCCATTGCATGGAGTTTCAGCTTCATGAGAGAGGAGAGACCAAAGTGATGCAGGTCTAAGCCGTTTACCAATTTGGGGAAACTTAATACCACGGGTACGGTGCTGACACCTTAAGATTATATGATTCGAACCCACGATCCGACGTTCCTTGCACGCCAAAGGGGCGCAACTCTGTAAGGCAAATGGCGCTGCCTTATACAACTCGACCAGCCCTGCATCCTAGTTCCTGACGATGAAAATGACAACGAGAAGCCTAACAATAACAATGATACGCATGACAAAGTTTGGGTGATATTTTCGTTTGTCAGAACAGTTAACCTGAGCAGCGAATTAACAGACACAGGGAGAAGAGATCATAAAGGGAAATATACACAACCATACCTTCCACTGGTAGAAACTGTTCACCCTCTTCTCATTCTGGAGGAAGTATTCCGATATCAAGCGTTTCCCTTCCTGGAGGTTGAACCACTTCCCTCTCGGGATCTGTAGCTCGTCCATCACACGTATCGCTGTCGGAAGGTCGGGGATCTTGTCGACATGTTCCAACTTTTCAACGCGAAATGCTTTTCGATTCATATTTTAATCAATCACCAAGGATGCCTCAAAATTGTCTCAGTTCCACTCACAAGTAAGACACATTTACAGCGGTAAATCCACCCTTTAACATAACCAAATAACAAGGTAGGTTATTAAGTGTTAAGTCCCCAAGTGACAGTCCGCAATGTCCACAGTGGTTAAGATCTAGTAATGCTGCAGTATACACGGTGTAGTGATAGAACACTTATCCAAAGCATGTAGCTTTTGTAGGACAGTTGTTAAGCTCACCGACAGGAATTCAACTCTCTCGAGTCGTCTGTTCAACATTCGCCTCGTCTAGAAGGCATGGCAGGTGTAGTCCGATATGGCTACCATTGTTTTCTCACCCACCGAAGTATCTTCCTGGTTGGTTAGCCATATCTATTTACGTCTCGGGTACGTCTTGTGCCTGTTCTAGGAAGACATTAACATATAACGAGAAGCCTTGCGCAGATGTACAGACGGACAGTCATGCGTATCATCTAGAGGTAAGCGAGGGACGTGTGGTGTAGGTTTATACATGTTATATCCACGAGGGTGTGTTGCAGGAAATAGTTACATAGTCAGGTCTTGTTGTTTAAAAACTATTCTTTATGACTTTTGTATTTCAGAATTTACAACTGTCTACATGCCTCACGTCCTACTGTGTCGAGAACATTCGCTTCAACTCAAACACTAGCAGACGACATCCGGTCATGCGACAAGCAGACGACAGGTGAAACACTTTGCTTGTCTTTTAGTTCAGACTGAACATTTATGTATCAAATTGGAAGTAAACAACCTTCAATATGAACGAGGAAAGCTTGAGAAACATAGACGTGGAGAATGTCGAAAGTATTGACGACATTTTGGAGAAAGCAGACAAGATCGGTGCGTCATTGGAGGGATGTGAAACCTGTGAGGACTTGAAAGAGAGACTGGTTATCCACAAGAACAAGATTACCGGCAAAAACAAACACCTGTTGGTAAGTGCAAACTCTTTATTGGTTTCTATCATTGAGTGGGAGTTTTCGTGCGTGAAAAGCAAGCCTTATTCTGGTTTGAAATATTCATTCCAATCCAGTTGATGGTGGCTTTTTCTTTAGCAGTTTCGGTTAATTTCTGAAGTGTGATATAGAATTATGTTGACAGAGGAAGTTGCTCTTTAACAGTTTTAAAGAATACTATTGAAAATTTAATGATACCAAAAGTATGAGATCTTGGAGGACTCATGCAAATTATGTTTGTTAAATATATTTTCTGATTTGATAACATATATAAATTTCACATTGTGTATACGTTTTTTCGTAAAATAAAGTCAAGTTGTATATAGTGTGCATTATCGCTTAGCCAAGTAATAGACACTGGCGAGTTTACATAACCCTTTTATATCCAATCTAAACACTTTGTACAGATTTAATCAGACATGTCAATTTGTTTAAACATACACATTTATCATTTTTGTGAATGATGAAATGACAAACATATCGCTATAAAAGTACTAGTTGTAAATATGAAAAAACATTTTACATACTTGGACGTCTGTCTATATAATATGAACTAAGTCTTAGTAAGAGAAGTGTCGTGGGTAGGGTGATTGAGGTGTTCTCTCATCAAGCCGAAGACCCTGGTTCGATTCCCTAAATGGGTACAATGTGTTAAAACCATTTCTGGTGTAGACGACATTGCTGGAATATTGCTAAATGCAGCGTAAAACATTACCCACTCACTTTCTAAGCAGGGAGCCCAGAGACGTCTCTGAGGCGTTCATACAAGCCGATCCGAAATCTTGTTGGATAATTTCATACAATTATAAGGCCAGTTGTTTATAAAATCAGAGTAGTATCACTGGCATGGAGACATATTTTATCGCTTAGTGAAGTATGTCGGCGCCTTTGATCCCACACCACCGGGCTACCACAATGACATGCCTCGTTACGACGTCTTCCTAGACCCGTGAAGATCCGGGTTAGAATTGGTCTTCAGCAACCCATGTTTGTCGTAAGGGGCGACTAACGGGATCGGGTGGTCAGGCTCGCTGACTTGGTTGACACATGTCATCGTATCCCAGTTGTGTAGATTGATGCTCATGCTCTTGATCACTGGATTGTCTGGTCCAGACTCGATTATTTACAGACCGCCGCCATATAGCTGGAATATTGCTGAGTGTGATATTAAACAACAAGCAAGCAAACAGACATAGATGAAATAAATCACTTTAGGTTAGTATTGAAATCATGTGGTAGTAGGTATTATAACCCCTCATGTTTTAGGTCTTGACAATTTGTGACATACTTTGCTAAATGATTTTTCAGACTTAGTGGTAACAGAACATTTTCAATTAAGAATTATGTTTATGTTTAAATAGTTTCTTGATTTTTGCGTTCGGTGAATCCGTACCCCAGTTTTAACAAAACAACGCCTTACAACAACAGTAGCCTATTAGACTATTGTCGTAGAAGGAACATCGCTATTTGCAAAGGTATTATCAACAGGGTTGAGATTAACTGCATTGGTGTGACGGTTAGAACGTAATCACACAAATTAAGTTCCCGATGCCTTTAAAAGTCTTAGAAATCTTCTTGTCTGTGGTACTGGTTATTTAAGCTTGATATAAATGATTAAAGTACTGGGTATTTAAAAGTACCTCCTGGGTATTAAACGAACAAACACCCGGGGAAAGAACATTGACTAGAGCTTAATGAAAAATGTGATTTATGATATACAACTGGGGATTTATTTTGTTAAGGGTATTATCTGAAAAGGAATGAGGACAAACCTAGAACGCTACCCCTATTCAGACGCCCTACCCATATAACGCTGTTGCTTTGCCATGGGTAATTTGTTTTCAGGTTCATGGCCTCTTACGGTCATATTTCCAGTCACATGGTAATCATGAACGATATGTCTGTCTCCAAGATCAGGTTACCCTCTTCTAGGCCAGCGTCACCTTCTGAAATTGAATTAAATCCATGTTTGAGAACTCCTTGATGGCACGTGTAATAAAGCATAATGAAGTTCAGCCCATAAGCAAATATAGTACCTGCATTCAACATATTGTTTATTTTGCGTTAACAGCCAAATGGACATGTTTATCATAGCAGAATACCCCGTGGAAAAAAATAACAAAAACGCACACACATACACACGCACATCATTAAACATTCAGTACAATTAGATCATCTGCCTCACCCTAGTGACTTCACGAGTTGTATGATCCCCAGGGAGTTCACATTGAAAATACGATGTGCCGTTGAAATTGATATCTAATGATGGAGGCAAAATATAAAAGCGCTTTGCGCATGTTTGTAGATGGGATGGATTATAGCGCTATATACCCATATATATAACAAATAATAATCTGAAACATTAAAGAGCAGGTAAAGGGAACTCGTCCGACTCGAATGTACTGCTTACGTATGTAATGTCAATGTAATGCTTCAAAGAATGTTTGTCATTTAATATGGAATACAAAATCCATCTTCATCATAGACTTCCGTCACCAGCTCTAAGTGGAGTGATTACTTCATGAACAAATCGGTCAATCTGTTGATTTTTATGTTTTGCCTGAGGCTATGTTTCACGTGATTACACTTAAGACAATCATGACGACAGTGGCGGTATTCTAAAGGGTAGCATAACAAAAGTAGAAATAATATCAACTTTATCTGTTTTTTAAATGTGGCAAAACTGTAGGACCTGATGGAATATCACCACTGATGTGTGAAAATATGGAGGTGATATGTTGTTTCCGTATTTCCATGTACTTTTTCACCTTAATTTTAATTCTGGAGATTTTTAGAGAGAACATATTTAGATATGTTCTCAACAGCGTGCTTAAGGAGTTTGTAGATTTGTATATAAATAGCCAGAATGTCAGTCAGGTTTTGTAGAGGATGCTGAACAGATGATACTAGCTTCACACTTTCAGTCGCTGATTCAAAAATAACTATCAAAATCTACATGTAGTTTCTATTGTCTGTTTTCTGTTGTGGACAGGCCAAAACATTATATTCCATCAACAACTTAATGGTATGTCTTGTCAAAGTGAAGTACTCGTGGGAAAATGGTAACCGTTAATCGGGATAACTTTTGTAACACCACAGCAGCTTTGAATTTATCTGACATCAGCAGTTCGGAATATTTCGAGTGCTGAAGTGGTGCTAGACAAGGTTATATACTGGACAAAAATAGTTAGGGATATGTAAATTTTGAAATAATAATATATTTATTCATTAACAGACTGATAAAATATCAATCATTAATATACCAATATCCCTAACTTATTTTGTCCAGTTCTCTTTTAGTTTTCATGTTTATTAATCAACTTGAAAATGTATTACAACTTCATGGTGACCCGGGTATTTGTGTAGGCGAGGACTTTCTAGAATTATATTTATCGTTATACCATATTTGTATATTTGTATAGAAAATATGAGTAGTTAAACGCCGATGATTTGTGATTTGTGCTTGTTTTTTTCCTGATTCAGTATTGGGTTCACAGAAGAAAGTTAATGTACTGGCATCCTTCTGTAAGTAGTGGGGCTTGAGAGTTGACTTCAACAAATCGAATCGTATTCCACAATAGTGGTAAAGTAAAACAAAATAATGAAAAGTGGAAATTATATTTTCTAATTCTTTAAAATTCGGTTTATCCAGACACTAAGTTAAAACGAGGATTGAATGATAACATATTGATACTATGAAAAATATACGGTGTTGCGATACTTTTTTCCATGTGTACATTTATTGTTTGTCAGGGAATGTACTTGAGCCTCTGGCTTTTATAGTTCATTACTTTACTAATCTACAAAACCGTATATTGATATTGAAAGGTGGTTATTCCTCCCTTAACATTGAAAAAGGACAGCGGGGAGATTACCAGATTTGATATAATGACTTGCAATATACCAACCCGTAGATCAAGTTTGAGTGTTTACTCTCCCTGTTTTGAACACTGAATAGTACGGAAGCGCTGAAGGGACCTCATGAAATATAATTTATCTTGAGCGCACAAGTTAGTATATTGAGCGCACAAGTTAGTATTGAGCGCACAAGTTAGTATCTTGAGTGCACAAGTTAGTATCTTGAGCGCACAAGTTAGTATCTTGAGCACACAAGTTAGTTATCTTGAGTGCACAAGTTAGTATCTTGAGCGCACAAGTTAGTATCTTGAGCGCACACGTTAGTATGTTGAGCGCTCAACTTAGTATATATTGAGATACACTGCTTCATAAGCAGTTCATGTGGAAGCAAGGAGGAGCGGAAACGCGAACTGATTCATGCTTATTTCAGTCTTGGGTTCCAATACAAACACATAACACATCTTCTTGTCAAAACTCAGGGTATAGTATAGTACGCCACTTGAAGCGTATTCTGAGGTGTATGTCCCTCTCTCGTACCAGATACCAGATTTGCTGATGTTACAGTGAGTGAGTGAGTGAATACGGTTTACACCGCTTTTAGCAATATTCCAGCAATATCACGGTGGGGAACACGAGAAATGGGCTGCACACATTGTACCCAGCTTGGGGAATCGAACCCAGGCGTGACGAGCGGACGCTTTAACCACGAGGCTACCCCACCGCCGCGCTGATGTTACATACTTTATTGCGGACGACTTCGACGATCTGAACAAAGACATGGTTATCGTTGATGCATCAAAAATGTATTCAATGCGGTTTAATCGTGAAACAGGATACTGTACGGTCGTTGTTGGACCCGAATGGTGTTGAATTTCGCTCAGGACACTGTCTTCATCGACGTCTTTATTCTTCAACTTCCTGTGTTGTTAAAACATGTTAAATAAACTACAACACACATACGTATACATTAGGGATTGATACGGAAGAAGTGAAACGGGGAACACGGTATTTTAGTAAGAAATAAAGTCGGTATATATGCTATACGTGCACATACTAATGGATCAAATAAATCAGGCGGGTTTTAAATGATATTGTACAGAGTTAAACTGCCATTGTACCCACGTTAGGAAACATTACTGATACATGCAAACCAAGACTACAGACTATAGTTCCCTGAAAGTGGTCGACTTTACTTCCAATACATCAGACATTAGTTTTATAATTAAGATAATTAAGTATAAAACTTAATGTTTACATTTTTCATGGTCATGTAATACTATATATACATAATAAAGCCGTAGCAAAAAACAAGTTATCCAAGTGTTCATAATTCTATGTACCAATATAAGAAGCAAGTAAAACCACTATTCATCCCTGCAATAAACTCCTACTCATGTTTATGTTTTAATTCTTATTATGACATTACACATACCTAGGCCTGCTTTATGTAATAAAGCAAAAAGTGGTAAAATCAGATACAAAGAATAGTATTGACAAGCATAAAGACGATGAACGTTTACATGATAAACATTATCAATGTTCATGATACATTTGCATACTTTTACATAGTCTCATCATAAACACCTATTGTTAACTCCGACTTTGCATCGTTTGAAATCTTCCAAAAAGGATATAAGTTTGTACATTTTAGACAGCAGTCAAGCAAATGTGCGTTCCATTAATGCCATTAGATGCTAAACACGGAGTTGAGCGCTCAAGATATTAACTTGTGCGCACAAGATACTAACTTGTGCGCTCAAGATACTAACTTGTGCGCTCAAGATACTAACTTGTGCGCTCAAGATATTAACATGTGCGCTCAAGATATTAACTTGAGCGCTCAAGATACTAACTTGTGCGCTCAAGATATTAACATGTGCGCTCAAGATATTAACTTGAGCGCTCAAGATGTTAACTTGAGCGCTCAAGATATTAACATGTGCGCTCAAGATATTAACTTGAGCGCTCAAGATATTAACTTGTGCGCTCAAGATACTAACTTGTGCGCTCAAGATAACTAACTTGTGCGCTCAAGATATTAACTTGAGCGCTCAAGATATTAACTTGTGCGCTCAAGATATTAACTTGAGCGCTCAAGATATTAACTTGTGCGCTCAAGATACTAACTTGTGCGCTCAAGATAACTAACTTGAGCGCTCAAGATATTAACTTGTGCGCTCAAGATAATTTTTATTTTATGAGGTCCCTTCAGCGCTTCCGTAGAATAGGGATATCGGAGCGTTTATACCAGATTTAATGTAGTGGCTTGCAATATACCGTATATGGACTCTGGTGGGTCGCACTCCGTATTTCAGAATTGAATAACGGTATTGGGGAATTTATATACAGGCTATGTACTAGTGTTCTTGTAATAGCCTGGAATATTCCCCATAATGAAATCCCCACAAGACCACATGGACTTCCCCTGACTGCAGGACCGAAAACCTGATCGACCACATCACAATCAGGCGAAAGTGGAGAAGGAGCCTGCACGACGTCAGGGTGAAACGCGGAGCAGACGTAGCATCAGATCATCATCTTGTTGTTGCCACCCTCAGGACCAAGCTCAAAGCGTACCACGACCGGACAGGAAGACCATCACACAAGTTCAACGTGCACAGCCTGAAGGAAAGAGGAAAAGCGGAAGAATTCAAGCTTGAACTGAGGAACAACTTCAGGAACAACTTTCAGCTTTCCCAGCTCCCAGAGGAAGCAATTGAAGAGCAGTGGCACAGTCTGCGTGAGACCTGGAAGACAGCATGCCAAACAGTCCTGGGGAAGAATACAAGGAAACACAAGGAGTGGCTGACAACAGAAACATGGACACTGATCAACGAGAGAAAACAGCTAAACGACCAGACCAACCAAACGCAAGACAAAGAAGAGAAGCAGGTACTGCAAGCGCGCTACTGGGACAAGAACCGGGCAGTTAAAAGAACCGCAAGAAAAGTCAAGAGAAACTTTATTGAGGAGCTGACTCAGGAAACAGACTGCAGCGGGCCAAAGAAACATGAAGAGTCTGTATGAGATTACACGCAATCTGGGAGGACCCTCTCTGGAAAAAACAGCAAACCTAGTCGCCCTGTCAAAGACAAGAATGGCAATGCCATTTCTGGTGAGGAGGACCAGAGAGCAAGGTGAGCTGAACACTTCAAGGAAACACTGAACAGACCTGCACCATCCGTCCCGCCAGACATCTTACTACCTACTGAACTCCTTGGTATCAACACCGACCCCCCCTACCAAGAACGAGATCACAAAAGCCATCAAGTCAGGCAAAGCAGCAGACCCTGACGGTATACCACCTAAAGTACTGAAGGCAGACATCCAGACTTCAATTGACAGGCTGCACCCACTCCTACATAAGATCTGGGTGCAAGAGAGAGTACCAGAAGACTGAAGACGGCACTGGACAAGACACTCCGGGATGAACAGATCATGCACAGACCACATCGCCACAATGCGCATCATCATCGAGCATTCCCTGGAGTGGCAAACAAACACCCATAAACTCAAGACATTTACCAACAGATGTCTCGGGAACATCCTCAACATCAGGTGGCCGGAAGTTGTCTCCAATGAACAACTGTGGGACAGGACCAGACACGCCCCAATTGTGTCCGAGATCAAGAAAAGGAAAAGGGGAAGGATTGGCCATACGCTAGCCCGCCTGTAACATCACCCGTCAGGCCCTAGACTGGAATCCACAAGGGAAGCGGAAAGTGGGTCGACCAAAACAGACTAGACGCAGAAGCATCGACACAGAGGCAAAGGCAGCCGGAACGACGTGGGCCGAGCTGGAGGAACTTACTAAGAATATACTGATTTGAAGTATGAATAGGACATATACACGATATTTAGACAGGGCTCTGTTTTGACCGGGAGCTAGAATGTAAAGTACAATTGTCCACCCCCTTAAAACTCTTTTAGGTAGCATGTGCACGCCAGTGGACTGCCCTGTATTGCATTGGTTTTCCCTATCTGGGGGCGCTTTCTAGGAACCAGCTGCACAAGTACAGTCGTTTATGCAGGTGTCGTATGAGAATAATATAACTATTCGATCCTGTTCAAACAGACTTTTGTGCTTCGTGTTGAATAAACACGAGTAATATATTGCGTAATATATAAACTTGCTTCAATAGATTTCTAAATATTGCTTATTGATCGAACGCGGGTGTGACACATACGTTAACTCTACTGCATTGAATAATTCATGTGTGAGCGCTAGTCTTGTTATTTAGGCATCATGTTAAACACCAGAGGTACAGATCCAGATACAAGATAGAAGTTACCTGAGATATTTTAAGCAGAATTAATTGAAAAAAGGTCTTATGGTTAATGTAAAAATAACCCAAAAAAATCGAAGCAATGGTGCAGAAAATAAATTGAATTGCCACGACCCCACCCCCACTCCCCCCCAAGTGAAGATCCGGGTTAGAATGGTATCTTCCCATAAGACAGACCTCCCAAAAGACAGATCGCTTAAAACAACACATTTTATGGTTGGTTGCATAAGCATCAAGCTGTACCCTTGATAATAATGGTATGTGCCTAAATAACAAAGACAACATTAGGTATTAACTATACTTTTATCAATTGATGTAATCAATTATAATTTTAAATTAAGACATATTGCATCAACATATATATGTACATCAACATATATTTTCACATATACTTGTGAATATTATCAAAAACAATAATTCATATACATGTACCAATCAAGCATATGAGACCAGGCACCATATTATTTTACATCATATGTTTGTCAGTTCACAGATAACACTTATTAGAAAGTCACTTCAACATCATCAGTGGCACTGGTAGGGAACTTGGTTACAATGAGGGTGGAATCTTTGTGATTTTTGCGACAGAAACATTATGATTTGTGACAGAGTCTTTGTGATTTGTCACAGAGTCTTTGCAATGATAAGATAAATGGTAATTATAGCTTTAGTTTGTGGTATTAAATACTATCATATTCACAATGTATTCACTTGTAAACTAGGAGAGATAGGAATGTGTTCTTAGTGCCTCTGGGTGAGCTCATTAATTACATAGGGGTGGACAGCATGGCTCAGCTAATTGGTGTACTCATTGAGTCTGTTTTATGGGAGGTCTGTCTTTTGGGAGTGAACCGTAAGGATTGGTCTTCAGCAACCTAAGCTTGTCGTAAGAGGCGACTAACGGAATCGGGTGGTCAGATTCGCTGACTTGGTTGACACATGTCATCGTATACCAGTTGCGCAGATCGATGCTCATGATGTTGTTCGCTGGATTGTCTGGTCGATTATTTACAGACCGCCGCCATATAGCTGGGATATTGCTGAGGGCGACTTTAAACGACAAACCAACCAACCAATAATTGTGCCAACCATTGGATTTTGTCGTTCAGCTTCAATAACTGAGGGACCGCTGGTATATAGCTGGAATTTTGCTGAGTGGCATGTTTAAACAAACAAACAAACAATACGAAAAGTAATTTCTTACTAAACACTGAATGACTAAAAAACAGTCCCTCCATTCCAGGGCTCCAGCCAAATGATGAATCATGAATACTTTTGGGAAAACTATTAAGCGTCTAATTTTTGGGGATTCAAACGGTCCTTCCAAACAATGAAATGTACATGTGCTTATTTCATATGGTGTTGTTGTTTACAGGACCCTGTCCGCCACGAGAATCTTCGTACGGAATGCCGCCAGACTAGAGAAGCCATATGCAACATTCTAGAAAGTGTACAAACCAGCATGGAGGGCAGTCTCCCGCTCTTGTCCAACATCCTGAAATCTCGTGGAATCTCGGACGATTTGGCACAGGAACTCCAGGACAATCTGACTTCCCTCAAGAATGGCGAATGCAATATAGTGATAGCAGGTGAGTGTCACACAGACTAAGTAGTTGATATAGTCCAAATTTGTTCCAATTGTTCCAAATTGTATTACTTCTTTTACACCTTTGGGTGAGGTGAGGTGAGGTGAGGTGAGGTGAGGTGAAATTGGGTTTAACGTCGCGCTGGAGAATATTTCGCTCATATGACGACGTGCATGCGTGTGTATGTGTATGTGCGGCTGCTTGCACTAGCCCAGACTTAAGCTGGTTTTATAGTACTAGCCCACTGAGATACCATGCCGCAGTGAAGCATGAATACCCCACTCAGACACATTATACTGACTCCGAGCCGACCAGTCCTTGATGGACCCATTAATGCCGAGCGCCAGGCAGGGACCAACAAGTACCATATTTGAACGTCTTTTGGTATGACGCGGCCGGGGATCGAACCCGCGGCCTTCCGCTCTCCGGACGGACGCTCTAACCACTACACCACGGAGGCGGTCTTTTACACTTTTGGGATTCCTGATTATAAAAGGGAGGTTTGTGTGCTTTGTTTTGTATGTTTTTAATGGGGCACTCAGAAATATTCAAGCTATATGGCGGCGGTCTGTAAATGATCAAGTCTGTACCAGACAATCCAGTGATTAACAGCATGGACATCGATCTACGCAATTAGGATACGAGATGTGTCAATCAAATCAGTGAGCCTGACCACCCTATTTCGTAATCGCCTCTTACGACAATTGTATAAGGGTTACTGAAGACCAATTCTAACCCACATCTTCACGGGTACTATTATCGTGGAGAATATGCGTTTTAAAAAGTACACGACCCGAATACACAATGCCTTTAAGAAATTGTCAGATGTAACACTGTGTTACATTCCGGATTACACTTTCTTAGTCAGCACAAATACCTCTAGTTATTGTCTACGGGTTTACATAGCTTTCGGCCGTGCGATCTGTGCCAGTTGTCGGAGTTGTACACCAGGTACGTAATCCAGATTGCCAGGTGTTTGACGTTTGGTTTCGTGGGAGGATCGGTGGCCTAGTGGGTATGTTCTCTGACTGCCGACGATTGTGTGCCTCTCTGTGAGAGGTATAGGGGTCGGTGTGGGGTTTGGATGGGGTGGTGTCGAATCCCTGTTCGGATTCTACTCAAGATCTACTAGAGTTTGTACAACCGTGTTATCCCATATGTAACATGTGTTCAACCAGTGACGAACGTAACACACTTTCTTAGTAAACTACAAATTCTAGTACCTTTTTGAGTTGAGCCCCATCCGGGATTCGAACTCACACCCTCAGAGTCAGGCCCCTAATCGCCAGCACACAGAGTCAACCGCCTAACCCGCTCACACGACTTTATTTACAATTAACAATTAATTAGAACAATTTAGCCTTAATTATGTAGACCTGAAATATCGTAAAGTGCGCTTTCAAACAACAAATACGTAAACGAAACTTTATTCCCTCCAGGACAAACAAGCGCTGGTAAAAGCACCCTCCTAAATGTGCTACTGGGTATGGACGTCTTGCCGAAATCCATCCTAAGTTGTACATCAAGCATTTGTAAACTTCGGTATGGCTCCACGTTCAAGGTCAAGGTCAAGCAGGAAGACCAGGTCAACGAACGCGTGTTCAACAACCAAGGGGAGACAATGGCCTACTTAGACAATCTGGTCGCAGAGAAAAAAATCGATGCCCGTGAGCGCGGGGAAACTGTACCGGAAGTGGACATAGAACTTCCGGCTGCTATTCTCAAAGTAGGCCTATGTGTGAATGTGACGTGTGATCTTAGTCAATCGTGTATCTGTGGGGTTTTTTAATTGCTTTAGATATGTGTTGCACTTTGAGCAAGAGAGTACGATGGCCTTAGCTTAGTATCGTAGATGTGGCTTATGTGACAGAAAACTAATGGTGTATCAAACAGCATGTCCGAAAGAAACTTATGATCTTAACCTTGCGCTGTTTTCAAGGCATCTCAGAATGTCTGTCTTCTTTAAGCATTACTTTGTTTGCTTAATGTAGGTGAGAGTTGTGGAATTTAAGGTATGTATTTGTCCCGATAGACTGGCGTTACCATCATCGACACTCCTGGATTCGGGGAGTACGAAGCCATGGAGAAGCTGGTCCGTGATTTCGTCACCCAGGGACAAGTTGCTGCCTTTGTCTACGTGGTCAAAACCGACAGCGCTGGTGGAGTGCAGGAGGACAGGGTAAGACTTTCGAAAACAGTCCGTACAGGTTATTTTCTTTACAGGGGCCACACTGCTCTGAGGTGCTGCAGGTCGCAGCTCGGAGTTGCCTCCCTTAACATACAAGGCTCAGGTGATCGCGGGTTCGAATCCGTTTCACCCTGATAATGTTTCTCGCGTGGTCAGTCCCATACTCGCGGCTCGTAGGTTTCACCAAAGTCGTGAAGGTCGGGTTAACATCGGGTTTCCACCCAGATCAAGCTGACACACCGTTATATAACATAAATACTAAATGGTGAAGGGTCGTTGGGGTAGCCTAGTGGTTAAAGCTTTCGCTCGCCACCCCGTAAAACCCGGTTCCGATTCCTCATATGGGTGCAATGTGTGAAACCCATATCTGGTGTCCCCCGCCGGGATATTGTGTGATAAGCGGCGTAAAACTAAACTCATTCACTCACGGGTGAAATGACTTTCACGTATTATGAGATCAAGTCATCAGATAAAAGAGGAGTAGTCAATCTATATAGATTCTCATTGTCTTGTCTGCACAATCATCCTTCCGTCTGTATCATATAGATTTTAACTGTGGGATAATTACCTTACCTGATTACATAGAAAGGAGCTAGTCCCAGCCAGTAGAGTGTGAAGGTCACAGGTTACAAGCAAGGTTGAACCGATAAGGGAAGTAAAGTGCTCTGAGTCCAAGTTTCAGAGAACTTACCAGTTCTTTTTCATTTTCCGTGTTCATGTTTCCGTGTTCTTATTATACGGCTCGATTGGATGCAGGAGTGAGCGAGACTGACTGACTGACTAAGTATGGTTTTACGCCGCTTTTAGCAATATTCCAGCAATATCATGGCGGGAGACACCAGAAATGGGCTTCACACATTGTACCCATGTGGGGAATCGAACCTGGGCCTTCGGCGTGACGAGCGAACGCTTTAACCACGAGGCTACCCCACCGCCCCTGAGTGAGCGAGAGAAAAGGGAGATTTTGCATAATGGATATACTGAATTTTAGTTCCAAACATGGATTGTACGGCTTCAAACATTTTACCCATATGGGGAATCGAACCCGGGACTTCGGCGTGACGAGCGAATTCTTTGAAATAACCACTAGACTACACCACCACCCCTTAAATGTAGGAGTTTGCAGTGTGAATACCCAATGCTATATATAGAAATCATTTAGTCCGGAAACCCCCAAAGTCATGACCTTTATGCTCTGTTACTGGGACATTACGACACCCATTTGACTCGTTAAACCAGAGTACTGTATTTTATTTGTAATAGTTTAGTCCCGAGGTCTGACACTCTCTTTCCCATCCTGCAGCTGGTCCGATTCCTGAAGACCTTCCTTGAACACAACAAGGGTCAAACCTCGTTACATTCATTCAACCCACGAGCTGCCCTGTTTGTCTGCAATCGCTGGGACCTGATCGAGGATAGCTACAAGTCCGATGTCAGAGAGAACGCCCTTGAGAAGCTAAACGACATCTGGCCAGAGCTCCAGGACAATCAGGTCATCTTCATGTCCTCATCCAGGGCCCAGAAAAGTCTTAGCGTGGACAGTGAGTACATCACAGATGATCTGCATGCTCTTCTGACCTCCCTCCATGGACTGTTTCATCTGGCTCAGCAAGATGAGGTCAAAAGGTCATATAGGTAAGATATATTTACATGGATATATTTCTTAAACCAGGGGCGTAGCTACCATTATAAAAAAAAGCCCGGGCTTACACATGATTGTTAAAATGTTTGGGCAAGCCCCTAATACTATCTCAATATGAAGCTTTGCAACCAATCGGGCTTACACGTAAAAAAAGGCTTGCTACGCGCCTGTAAACGTTTGAATGCCCATTTTCAATACTATTCAAACTTATACTATATTTGAGTGAGTGAGTGAGTTGGAGTTTACGCCGCTTTTAGCAATATTCCAGCAATATCACGGCGAGGGACACCAGAAATGGGCGTCACGCATTGCCCCCGGGTCTTCGGCGTGACGAGCGAACGCTGGAACAACTACGTTATCCCACCACCCAATTATATTAGAAGGAAGGTACAATGAAAGTTACGATCCAGTAAGAATGATTTGAGAAAGCTTTAACAATATTCTAGTGCTGTATCATTGCCGGACGCCAAGCATGATGTTGTACGCCGTAGACATCGACATCCCAGGTACGCGACGTCAACCTGTAGATAATTAAATCTGGACCAGGCAAGCCAATGACTAATGTCATGAGCACAGTGACATTCACAACACAATGACACGCAATCTACCAAGTAATGTAATCCAAACCACTTTTTTAAAGAATAGCATTCTGGAACAGACACTTACTGGTGTGGTTAATATGGCTGGTCATATAAGAGTGTTGTCCGTTCTGCCCTGTAACTGAAAACACACCACCCGTGAAGATCCGGGTTAGAATTGGTCTTCAGCAACCCATGCTTGTCGTAAGATGCGACTAAGGGGATCGGGTTGTCAGGCTCACTGACTTGGCTTCAACATGGCCTATCGATGTTCATTTTGTCAACCATTGGATTTTGTCGTTCAGATTTGATTACTTAGGGACCGCTGGGTGGTCTTGGTTGACACAGTCATGATGTCGTATCTCAGCTGCGTAGATCGATGCTCATGTTGTTGATCATTGGTTTGCTTGGTCCAGACTCGATTATGTACAGACCTCCGCCATATAGCTGGAATGTTGCTGAGTGCGGCGTAAAACAACAAACAAACTGACGAAACTAAAGTAGATATAACAATACAGTGAAGTATTTAATTATCTTCTCTTGCAGCTGGCTGAAAGACGCAATGAAGGAGTCCACCAAATACCTCAAGACAATCCTCTCCCAGATCACGATGACTGAAAGGGAACATGATGAGAAATTCCTGCAAGCAAGACAGCAACTGTCAGCGTTAAATGCCCAAGCAACTGAAACCATCACCGAGCTCAGGGAGCAGGTAGATTCAGCTGCCAAGGAACTTGCTGTGGAATTTAGAAGAATCCTTGTTTCAGATTGTTTTAGGGGGCAACTTAAAAAGTGGAATGATCGAGATCTTCCAGACGTTCCCGACTCGGTCGACGGCTGGGAAAAACATAAAGAACTGATAGATAGTATGATTTTGAATAAGATTTACAAACTGTTCGATGAAACTGAAGAGTCCGAGACTTTCATTCAAGACATGTGCACCAAGATGATGTTTCAAGTCAGATTTCGTTTAAATTTACTAGACCAAAACATGACCGATATTTCGAATGCCCTGAGGGCATCTTCTTCCAGTAGTTCAACGGACAGTAGTGATGAAGAAAACGACCTGGTGGAGAAATTCAAGAGCATACGAAAGAAAAGCTGTATTGTTCAGCGACTTAGAGACATCGCTGAAAAAGGAAGAAACACAGCTGCTGTGAATCCACGCGCATTCGCTTGCAGGATGATAGCACCTCTTGTGGGTAAAATGTTCAAAATGGCACAAGAGCGTGCTATGGGTTCGTTCAAAGAAAAACCTCGGCAATACATGGAGCAAAGGAGTGAAAAGATAATCGCGACTGTCAAAGATGATAAAGAATTCCTCAGTAAATTTGTGTCAAGATACACGGAGCAGATTCATCAGAAGATCAACACCATCAGCCTCAACATCCCTAATTTCATCCAATCTAATGAAGAATTAATGAAGGAGGTCATCCAGTTCCGTAGAGAAGCCAGACAGGACAAGACCCATCTGAAGCAGACCATGGAACATCTGGAACCTCTGAAGGAACTACTCAGGGGTTTCGGCTACCTCCACGTCAAGGACTTTACATCAGATGAGATCCTGCTGCAAATGGACAACTTGGGCGCATCTTCTTCAACGCAGATGAAGGTGAACGTGTACCTCAGAACGTCCGACTCAGATCACATTGCAAGGAAGGCTGCAGCAACAGGTCTGTGGACGGTTGTACAAGCAGCAGAGCTCAACACTGACAATGACAAGATTCCGGTTATGGCTAAACACTACATCAGTCCTCTAAAAGATCAGCATCTTTTCAAAGAAATCGCAAAATTGAGGTAATGCATTATTTGTTAAGAAAGCATCTCGTTTTACAAATATTCTGTAAGATATTGACTTAAACATATTTCCGAGAAAGGGAAGTGGCTTGTGTGCAGGTTTTTACATCTCAGGTAGTTTCTTCAAAACATATTGACATGATCAGCGTGATCTTACATTCCCATTGAGAAACAGACAGGAACAGATGGAACAAGTCTGGGAGTTTTACTCTACAGCTGTGGTGGAAGCCCATCTTTAACGAAATATACGTTATACTTATCTTTCTGGCATTCCACTTGGCAAACCAAACCATTATAGAAGGGAAGTTTATGATTCATGTTACATGAAATAAGAAATGATATACGAAACACTTTCTGTGTGATTTTCAGTATAGGAGTATAAACAATAAACATTTAACAATAAATCGGGACCATTTACCATTCTACGTGCACCATATTGGCAACGTGTAAGACGTAATTGTAGGACATATCTCAGCCTCGTCAACTGCCGCGTCCATTTATCCATCCATCTTCAACTTCTCCCCAGGTGCCTGGATCACCTTTCTGTGGCGTCATTTCTGGGGATGACACGCACTGAAAACATGACAACGTTCATCTTTGGGGACCAGCTGACGTCGGCACGTCGTTACCTGAGACGGTCGACGACGAGGGTGAAGGATGCAGTCCCGCAGTTGCTGAATCAACTTATCAAAGGAATTGAAGCCATTCACAAAGATGGCCTCGTCCACATGGAGATTTCTCTGGATACCGTACTTGTAAGTACTAACGGTGCTCGCCCTGACCACTTGTGTGTGCTATTCATCAGAAATCCTTGCCACCACTCCTGAGTAAACATTTCTTCTTTTAAAGTGATAGGCATATAGTGAGTGAGTATGGTTTTACGCGCCTATAGCAATATTCCAGCAATATCACGGCGGGGGACATCAGAAATGGGCTTCACATATTGTACCCATGCGGGGAATCGAACCCGGGTCTTCGGTGTGACGAGCGAACACTTAACCACTAAGCTACCCCACCGCCCCAACAGGCATATACGAAGACCCGGATGAATATAATGTTCATATAACTTAATGTTAACAATAATTACGTTTACTTTTACTTTCAAATCTAGAAGTTCACACCGGGACCTTAGTCACATAGCACAGAAACTTTTATTCACATTTTTAGTCCGAAAAACTCTGGCAGTGCCAACTTTCAGCTCAGAATCTGGTGCTTATTGTTTCAGACGCATTTCAAATTTTCACTCCCTCGAGGTCTAACTTTAAGTCACTGTCCGTCATATCGTTATAGATCAACCAAATTGGAGATGTGAAACTGTGCAACATGTGTCTTCCAAGGACCTGCAAGTTCCCAGTTGACGTTGAATCGGTAGAAGCTGGAGACTTTACTTGCCTGAGTCCCAAGGTTCTGAGAGGGGGCATCTACGACTCCGATGCTGATGTCTATGGATTTGGGATCGTCCTATATGAACTCCTTCTCCAACAGCGGCCTTATGAAGAACAACGAACGTGGGTATTGTCTCGTTTCATCGAGGGAATTCATCCTTCCAGTATGTTGAAGCTGCGAGATCTGGAAGTGTCAGAGACTCTTTCCCATCTGCTCCGAGGCTGTATACTTCCGGGTCAAGGGTTACGCCTGCCTCTTGTGAGAATTAGGGAGATGCTCAAAGGTCTCGAAGGCGATGAGTCAGTTGCAAATCTCAAAGATGCAAAAACGATTGTAAGACGACGTAAATCGTCTAAGCAGGTTATAAAAGCCGCTATGTATCGGCGTGAAAGTCGTGGTCCTTCTCAATCTTCAACAGAATCTGAACCCAATGACGATCAAATTGCCCGTTGTGAGAATCACAGTGATGGAAACAGCTGTAAAGAGGAGAAATTCGTCTAAGCAGGTTATAAAAGCCGTGGTCTTTCTGAGTCTTCGACAGAATCAGGACCCAGTGATAACCGAATTGGCCGTTGTGAGAATTACAGTGATGGATCTGTTGCTAGCAAAGCGACAATTGCACATCTCATGGATGTGAAAACAGGTGTCACAGGGGACAACTATTTGTAGTAAAGTAATGAAGCCTGCAGTGTGTTAGTGCGAAAGTCTATGTGATCCTTTGGATCTGAACCCAATTTAACCCAATACAACATTTTCTCAAGAATGGGACGGAGATACTAGGGACAGCAACCAAGCAGGCAAGCGTGTGCAAGAAGTAAAACCACAAGATTATTGCATTGAATAAAGTTCATGGTTGCATAACTACATCTGTCATACATTATAACCCAGAATAATGTGCTTGCAACACACTGACCTTGACTACAAACCGTGTGTCTCGGATTACGATGCAAGTAACACAACTAGTCTGACAAGCTGTGAATCATTAAATCCTATAGTATGACATTGACTTGACGAAATACTATGTCGCGTCATAATCATAGAACTGTTGTCTACTGTTGACATTTAGCAGACACAGCGGTTATCTGTTCATGGATGATCTGCTGACATTGACATTGTACAGTGTATTGGGTTTATGTTATGCACACCGTATGTTCACAGAGTATGCTGTTGGTATTATACACACCCTATGTTCACAGAGAGTATGTTGGTAATATACACACCCTATGTTCACAGAGAGTGTGTTGTTAGTAATATACACATCCTATGTTCACAGAGAGTATGATGTTGGTAATATGAACAACCCATGTTTACAGAGAGTATGTTGTTGGTAATATACACACCCTATGTTCACAGAGAGTATGCTGTTGGTAAAATACACACACTATGTTCACAGAGAGTATGATGTTGGTAATATACACACCCTGTGTTCACAGAGAGTATGTTGATGGTAATATACACACCCTATGTTCACAGAGAGTATGTTGTTGGTAAAATACACACACTATGTTCACAGAGAGTATGCTGTTGGTAATATACACACCCTATGTTCACAGAGAGAATGCTGTTGGTATTATACACACCCTATGTTCACAGAGAGTATGTTGTTGGTAATATACACACACTATGTTCACAGAGAGTATGCTGTTGGTATTATGCACAACCGATGTTCACAGAGAGTATGCTGTTGGTTTTATGTACAACCTATGTTCTCAGAGAGTATTCTGTTGGTAATATGCACACCCTATGTTCACAGAGAGTATGCTGTTGGTATTATGCACAACCGATGTTCACAGAGAGTATGCTGTTGGTATTATGTAAAAACAACACATGTTCTATGTTCACAGAGAGTATGCTGTTGGTATTATGCACAACCTATGTTCACAGAGAGTATGATGTTGGTAATATTCACAACCCATGTTTACAGAGAGTATGCTGTTGGTATTATGCACAACCGATGTTCACAGAGAGTATGCTGTTGGTAATATACGCACCCTATGTTCACAGAAAGTATGATGTTGGTAATATGCACAACCCATGTTTACAGAGAGTATGTTGTTGGTAATATACACACCCTATGTTCACAGAGAGTATGATGTTGGTAATATGCACAACCCATGTTCACAGAGAGTATGCTGTTGGTAATATACACACCCTATGTTCACAGAGAGTATGTTGTTGGTAATATACACACCCTATGTTCACAGAGAGTATGATGCTGGTAATATACACACCCCATGTTCACAGAGAGTATGCTGTTGGTAATATACACACCCATGTTCAGAGAGAGTATGATGTTTGTAATATGCACAACCCATATTTACAGAGAGTATGCTGTTGGTAATATACACACCCTATGTTCACAGAGAGTATGATGTTGGTAATATACACACCCCATGTTCACAGAGAGTATGCAGTTGGTAATATACACACCCATGTTCACAGAGAGTATGATGTTTGTAATATACACAACCCATATTTACAGAGAGTATGCTGTTGGTAATATACACACCCTATGTTCACAGAGAGTATGCAGTTGGTAATATACACATCCTTTGTTCACAGAGAGTATGTTGTTGGTAATATACACACCCTATGTTCACAGAGAGTATGATGTTGGTAATATGCACAACCCATATTTACAGAGAGTATGCTGTTGGTAATATACACACCCTATGTTCACAGAGAGTATGCTGTTGGTAATATACACACCCTATGATCACAGAGAGTATGCTGTTGGTAATATGCACAACCCATATTTACAGAGAGTATGCTGTTAGTAATATACACACCCTATGTTCACAGAGAGTATGCTGTTGGTAATATTCACAACCTATGTTCACAGAGAGTATGCTGTTGGTAATATTCACAACCTATGTTCACAGAGAGTATGCTGTTGGTAATATGCCCACCCCATGTTCACAGAGAGTATGTTGTTTTTGTTTTGCACAACCTATGTTCTATATTCACAGAGAATATGCTGTTTGATGTTATGCATTCACTAATTAGTATTTTCACTCTGCTGTTGACATAATGCAGAATGTATTGTCAACTGCGAATCTTTAGTACGTAGAGGGAGATGTTGGTTGTGTTAATAATGGAAAGTTCAAACAGTTCTGTTTGCTCGACGTATATTCCACGTGTTAAGTTATGTTGTACAACATTATAGCACGCCTCACCGCTTTTCATAGGATGGGCTTCTCTTAGGATGTGGATGTGCGCGTTTAAGATAACGTGCCCAGATGACGCCACAATTGTAGTCGTATTTAAATATCAGTCGGTAGAATGATCTCGAACATCTCAACAGTGTAAACAAAAAGACCACACCCCCAACCCTACCACACACACACCCCAACCACACACACCCCCCCCCAAAAAAAAAGAAAAGAAAAGAAAGGAAAGTAAAAATAAAACCCTCAATCAGATCATGTCCAACATGACATATTTCTTAGGGTAATTGAGGCAGTAAATATACCGGCGTTGATTTTAATAAATACTTACGTACGTTTTAGTTCACCTCTATGGAGCATTGTAAAGTCTTTCTACATGAAGTCATGCGTGTGTATGAAATAGAAAAAGAAATAAACCTACACAAATAAATTTGTCTTATTGGTGATGATTCTCGACCATCCTTGTAGCCATTGCATTCATGCAACCATGCATTAGTGATGGTTGACTATATGCCTTGGGCATGGTTGTCGTCATGCATTATTTTCTGCAGATGTAACGGTTGCTACTGAGATGCGCTATGTGCTGAGGCGAACGCTGAGTTTATGAATCGGCAATCTCACAATCGGTGTTCTCACCATCTACAACATGTGTTCACATTGCATAAATTGTAGGTCATTAATCTACTAGAGAGAGAGAGAGAGAGAGAGAGAGAGAGAGAGAGAGAGAGAGAGAGAGAGAGAGAGAGAGAGAGAGAGAGAGAGAGAGAGAGAGAGAGAGAGAGAGAGAGTGAGAGAGTGTGTTACTCAAACATGGGCAGTATAACTAGGGGATTGGTATATTTGTTCTAAAATGGTCTGGCGGTGGCGTTAGAGCCAGTTTTGACATTACACCCGGGAATATCAATGGGTTTAAATCCGTACTAGAAAATCATAAACTCTGTAACCAGGTTGGCGTTATAACCAGAGTGCACTGAAGTTAAATCAGGCGAAAAACGAAAATGAAAACCGGTAAGTGGATAGACTGAAATCAGAAGAAAGAAACATGGATGATCTTGTTGCCAATTGAGACCTGGCATATCGGAAGCCCACATTTCACGCGACCATAACAAAACAGCCCGGTTTCGACTCATTGCGCTCTGTAATTATGTCACAATAAGTTTTCTTTTCTACCATTCGACCTTCCAGTTTATTCATTGAAATCCAATCTTCCGGGTACACCACACCCAATCAGGGGGCTGAGATAAGTCACCGCATCGATTCAGGGAAGATCACACAGCCTGACTGTTTCAGTCATGTGGCACCGATTGACTGAGTCACGTGATTGTTTAGCACAAGGCGAAGCTCAACAAGCGGCTATGAAACCTAACACTTTGTAAACCTGTACTGGTGTTTTATATGATCTATTACATTTCCGTACCGGGAAGTCAAGTAAGTTTCAGTATACATTACCTGAGTGTTTGCGTTAGTCGTCAAGTACCTAGCCACATTTACACTACCCCCGTGGGATTAGATACACATCCCTGTCAATGGTAGCGTGTCTGGGTAAAAGGCAGTACTTGTCGATCGTCGCAATACCGACAGAAGAAAAAATGGAATGCAATGCGCCGGTGTTTGTTAAGATTCGTTTGTTGTTTTACGCCGCACTCAGCAATACTCCGGCTATGTGGCAGCGGTCTATAAATAGAGTCTTAACCAGCAATCCAGTGATCAACAGCATGAACATCGATCTACACAATTGGGATACGATGACATGTGTCAACCAAGTCAGCAAGCCTGACCACTCGATCCCGTTAGTCGCCTCTTACGACAAGCATGGGTTTGCTGAAGATCAATTCTAACCCGGATCGGGTTTGTTAAAACAGACGTTTTTCACATGCTGAGATGATTGCTTGATGTCCACAATAGTTGATCTCACAGTAATTGTTATACACTGAAAACACAATGTTGTATGTCAGCTAAAGTCGTTCCTCTTAATGCATATACTTAATATAGTCTTACGACACCTCGTCAAACAGAACTGTATACGCAGTTAAAAGAATATTTGAAAATACATTTTGTCCCTAAAGTGATCAAATAAGAACTTTGAGACCAATTATGGCGATGGCCCACCCTAATCACGACAAAGGTTCAACAAGAATTGCCATCACTCTCTGTACCCATTTGGATTCGACTTACTGGTGTTCAGAACGAACGCCTCAACAACCGGGCTAGCTATCGCTCCGGGAGTTTCACAAGATGATATCGCGACAGCCTTGGAAGCAAACGTCAATTTGACGTCACAAAAAGCTGCTGCAGAGCAGCAATAACAGCAATGAAGCAGTATACTCCTGCATCGTGTACACAAATATATCCGAAACACCACTATCACTTTAAGTGTACCATCGTTTAATTTGAACATTGTACTGATTTAAAGTTTGTTTAGTACAATCTAGTCTATAGGGAATATCATTCCTAGTGTCAAAGGGGTCGTGTGATAGCCAAGTGGGCAAAACGTTCGCTCGTCGAAGACCCGGATTCGATTCCCTAAATGGGTTCATTGAGTGATATTGCTGGAATTCTGCTAAAAGCGGCGTAAAATCCAACCCACTCACTCACTCTCAGTGTCGATCCTCAGTAATAATTATAAATGTATTCTTGAACGTGCACATCTTAAAAGCAATACACTGTTTAAAATCAACACCAGTACATGGTTTATACTGAAATTGAGTATATCCAAAATGCAATATATTCCCACCAACTGTACACATTCATACAGGTGTATACCGAGACACTCTGAAAAGTAAGGTCACAGATGAAGGTCACAGC